GCTGCCCTTTACCTGATTTACTGTGAAAAACAAAAGTAAGTGACAAAAATAGTAAAATGCTTCTTTAATTAAACACTTATTCAAAAACAGTTTATATGACACATGTAAGATAACTCTTGAAATGGAACGATACAATAAAAAATATAACAAGCTTAAACATGATGCTTTTATCAAATATAAAATGATATTTTTGCTGACTGCAGTAACATTTAAGGGTCACTTTAACACAACTGCTCACTCAGACCATTGTTACAATAGCTGTATATGTTATAGTGTGCATCTTTGACAAGTGCATTTTGAGTATTCAGTGTGTGTTTGTATTTGTTCATGACAGTAGCAGGAAGGAAACGTAGGGAGAGGAAAGGGGACGCTGTGGTTTTACAGAACGCTTCGATGCTCCTTTTGTAAAATGGATTAATTAAATTCGAGTGTGAATGATGTCTAGTCGTAAAAGCATCTGCTCACAAATCAGGATAAATGTCAACAACAGTAGCTTCTGTTTGATTTTTTTTTTAAAGTCTTCAGTCAGACAGCTTTTGTTAAAAACTAGAAATAATTTTAAAATGGGCCAGTAAAGCACAACTAATATGACTCTTACAATCAACCCACGAAGTGACTGAATTAAATAATTCCTCAGTTTCATTAATGAACTGTTTACATTGTCTAATTTAGAAAATCACAACGTAAATTATAATTTGAAGTGCTTGGATGTTTACAGAGACTGCAAAGGTTAAGTGGCAGCTCGGTTTTCTGCTTCCTCTTTCAGACCGCTCGTTGTTTTGTTTAGGGCAGAGGTGACGTGCAAAACTTCTGATGAACACATTTCAGAACTCATGCTGCAGACTGCATGTGCTACCTCAAGCTGCAGAACAACCTAAAAAGTGCAAAACCTGTGGTTAATGATAACACACGGAAAATATCTGCTGTCAATCGATGAAATATCGCAGTTGATATACTGTAGATGGTCTTCTTGTTTGTTCATGACAATAAATGTTGGTGATGATGCGGTTTCACACTGAGCTACATATGAAAAGACAAAATAAAGTTCAATTTGGAAAAAATTTCTCACTCATAATTACAACTAACACATACGTACTTCTCTAATAAAAATGCATATAATGTGTACAATATATGTATCAATAGACTGCCATATCATAGGGAGTTGAGATTATGTTGAGTATAAAACTGAAAATGTATTTAAAGTTTATGGTTCAGTGTTCCCCAGTGGAGTTTTGTGTGTCGCTGCCTTGCCATCGTGGTTCAGTTCCCGGACCCCTTCCAGCCTCAGGCTCAGGCTCCGGCCTATCATGGCAGCCATCTCCATGATCCATCTGCCTGCACGGACCAAACTCTATGGAACAGTTCGGTTTTGCGGGGAAACCTAGGATGTTCTCCATCTGCCGGACACGGCTCTGGAGAGTAGTCTGGAAGGACAGTTGCGCGGTCATTATTATCATCATGCTGCTAACAGGAACGCACTGCTAACAAGACCTGCTAACGTTGCTAACAAAACCACACCCCTAACAGAACCACACTGCTAACACAACCACACTGCTAACAGTACCATGCTGCTAACAGTACCATGATGCTAACAGTACCATGTTGCTAACAGGACCATGATGCTAACAGTACCATGCTGCTAACAGGACCATGATGCTAACAGTACTATGCTGCTAACAGGACCATGATGCTAACAGTACCATGCTGCTAACAGGACCATGATGCTAACAGTACCATGCTGCTAACAATACCATGATGCTAACAGTACCATGTTGCTAACAGTACCATGCTGCTAACAGGACCATGATGCTAACAGTACCATGATGCTAACAGTACCATGCTGCTAACAGGACCATGATGCTAACAGTACCATGCTGCTAACAGGACCATGCTGTCAAGTCAAGTCAACTTTATTTATAGAGCACATTTAAAACAGTACCTGTTACGAAAGTGCTTAACAACAACAACAACAACAATCAATGAGTAAAATTAAAGAGAAAAAAAAATAAAAATATATATATATATATAAATATATATATATATATATATACAATACACTAATAATAATAACTGAAGAATTAATAAAAAGTATTTAAAACATAGGGTCACAGATTAAAAAAACACTAGATCAATTTACACTATGTGAAATGCCTGCAAGAACAGATGTGTTTTAAGCAGGGATTTGAAGTGAGGAATGGAGGTGGCCTGCCTGATGTTGGGGGGCAGGTTGTTCCAGAGTTTGGGGCCCATGACTGAAAAAGCCCGATCTCTTCTGAGCTTCAGTCTTGTTTTTGGAACAGCCAAAAGCAGCTGATCGGATGATCTCAGGGCCTGAGAGGGAACGTAAGGTTCCAGAAGCTTAGAGAGGTAAAGGGGTGCGAGGCCATTTAGGCACTTGAAGGTCAACAGAAGAATTTTAAAGACTTTCCTCGTACGAACAGGGAGCCTGTGAAGGGAGGACAGAACTGGTGTAATATGTTCAAACCTACGAGTTCCGGTTAAAAGCCGAGCAGCAGCATACTGGATGAGCTGAAGACGTGAGATGGAGGCCTGGCTGATCCCAGCAAACAGTGCATTGCAATAGTCCAATTAGGTCGTGACAAAGGCGTGGACTAGTTTCTCAAGGTCGGGTCTGGACAATACTGGCTTGAGCTTAGCTACCTGTCTGAGTTGGAAGAAGCTTTTCTGCAGAACAGAGTTGATTTGTTTGTCAAACTTGAAGTCAGAGTCTAAAACCATCCCGAGATTTTTACCAGACTACTTAAGATATGGCTGAAGAGAGTCCAGGTTGACATGATCAGTGGCGGCAGTGGAGCTAGGGCTAAAGACAATGACTTCAGTCTTCTCAGTGTTAAAACTTAAGAAATTTGAAGCCATCTAGGCCTTAATGTCGTCCAGACATTTTAACAGAGGGTGCATGGAGCAAACACTTGCTGGTTTCACAGGCAGGTAGATCTGGCAGTCATCAGCATAGCAATGGAATGAAAGACCATGTTTCCTCAGGATGGACCCCAGTGGGAGCAAATAAAGTGAGAACAGAAGGGGTCCAAGAATCGAACCCTGTGGGACCCCGCAAGAAAGAGGTAATGAGGTGGATACATTATTACCAACCTTGACACAGAAACTCCTGCCACTCCGGTATGAGCGGAACCATTCTAATGCAGCACCTGTGATCCCAACCCACTGTTCCAGATGCGATATAAGGATACTGTGGTCAACAGTATCAAAAGCAGCAGTAAGGTCCAGGAGCACAAGTACCACAAATTGACCAGAATTGTTTGATATCATTATGTTGTTACAAACACTTACTAATGCTGTTTCAGTGCTGTGGAGTTGCTTAAAACCAGATTGAAAAATCTTGAAGATTCTGTTCTCATTCAAAAACTTGTTTAATTGAATGAAAACTATTTTCTCCGGGATTTTGGACAGGAAGGGAAGTTTTGAGATTGGTCTGAAATTTGAGCAAGTCGAAGGGTCAAGTCCAGGTTTCTTAATTAACGGATGAACTACTGCATGTTTGAAGACATCAGGAACCACACTTGTCACCCATCCATCCATCCATTTTCTTTACCCGCTTATTCCATTTTGGGTCACGGGGGTCGCTGGTGCCCATGTCCAGCAATCACTGTGCGAGGGGCGGGGTACACCCTGGACGGGTCGCAAGTCCATCACAGGGCCACATAGAGACAAACGAGACAAACAAACATTCACTCTCTCACTCACACCTAGGGACAATTTAGAGTTACCAATCAGCCTAACATGCATGTTTTTGGACTGTGGGAGGAAACCGGAGTACCCGGAGAAAACCCACGCATGCACGGAGAGAACATGCAAACTCCACCCAGAAAGGCCCCTGGACCGGGGTTTGAACCAAGGACCTGCTCGCTGAGAGGCAGCAGCTCTACCAGTTGCGCCACCGTGCTGCCACACTTGTCACAATACTACTATTTACAATAGTAAGAACAGAGGGTCCAATCGGGGATAGAACTTGTTTGAAAAACGACTCAGGAATGGGGTCAGCGGGGGAACCGGAGGGTTTCATCTGACCAACGACTTTGTTTAGAAATGGGAGTGAAATGGGTTCAAACTGTTTGAAGACAGCTGAGCAATGGACAAAGACAGAGGGATCAGTTGTGGACTGGGGGACGGATGACCTAATCAACTCTACCTTATCAGCAAAGTATGTGGTAAAGGCGTTGCAGATGTCAACAGAGGCCTCCATGCTGGCAGACCGAGGCACGTTTAAAATGGAATTTACGGTATTAAAAAGAACATGGGGATTATGACTGTTTGAAGCAATGATTTGGGAGAAGTATTTGTTCTTTTCAGATTTAACGATGCTCTGATAATCTTTCAAACACGTTTTTAACATAATAAAAGAAACCTTTAATTTGTCCTTTTTCCACTTGCGTTCAGCTCTCCTGCATAGACGTTTGGCTGCTCGAGTAGTCACGTTCAACCAGGGCTGTGGTGCACGCTTTGGTTGTCTGATTTTTAGCGGGGCCACAAGGTCTAAAATCTTAGAACAGTTCGCATCATGCCTACTGAGCAGCTCCTGCGTACTAATACAGGCAGAGGTTTCAGGGACTGAAGCAGCATCAGTAAGGAATGCAGAGGAAAAAAAGAGCAGCGGTTGAAGAGTTAAATATCTGACAACTCTTGGCTGGAGCGGGGGATTTAGACTCATGAATAACAGAGGTTTTGAATGAAATGGGTTTGTGATCTGAAACAATAGCATCCCCAATTTCCAGATTAACCACAGATAAACTGTAATTTACACCCCATATGACACATTATCACCTATCACCAAATTATTCTACAGTAATCTGTAGCAATGGTCCAGACAAGCAAAGACCTTGTTTGAACTTTGACCTTGATTTGTGAAACTGTTTACAAACAAAGACTTGATACGTTTTCCTTTCGACAGGCGTATAAAAACTGTTCACAAATGTTCTGGTGTAAATAGTAATACACCAATGTGCTTCCTTCGTAGTCCCAGATTACACGCTGGTGTTTCTCTCATCTACGCTGGTGGTCTGTGAATACACCGAAGTAGCAAATCTTTCCGAAGGTACGTATAACTTGATGACTTGACACAGACGACATGGAGCTCTGTTTATGAGCCTCAGCAGCTGCCTCCTGAACTTCTCCCCCACAAACACGTACAGGATGGGGTTGAGGCAGCTGTGGGAATAGGCGATGGCCTCTGTGACCTGTAAGGACAACCGGATATCTTTGCTGCTGCTGCACTCCGTGTAGAGCCCCAGAAGCTCCAGAGCTTTGAAGAACGCTGAGACATTGTAAGGAACCCAGCAGCAAAAGAAGACGGCCACCACGAGGAAGACCAAACGGATGGCCGGCTTCTTGGCTGATTGGCTGGACATCAGCCGTCGGATGATCTGGAAGTAGCAGAAACCCATAATGAACAGTGGCAGGAACAGACCCAGAATGTTCATTTTGTAGATGCCAAAGATTATCCAGGTGTGGTAACTGGAATAGTTTCCTTCCTGTTTGGGAAAGTCAGGTGAGCACAACAGAGAGCCATCCAGAGCAGTTTGCTGTTGGAGGAAGATCAGGTCAGGAAAGGAAGCTATAAATCCGATCACCCATGTGATTGCAGCCGCCATCATGCCAAAGGATCGTGTCCGTGCCCTCAGGGCATAAACGGAGTGAACTATAGCCATGTAACGGTCCAAGCTCATCAGACAGATGAAGAAGATCCCACAGTAAAAGACAATGTAATAAATACCCAGGACCACCTTGCACATACCATCTCCAAACACCCAGCTGTCTCTGGCCTGGTGGGCCAGGAAGGGCAGGGTGCACACCAAGAGCAGGTCAACGAGGGCCAGGTTGAACAGGCACACATCGGTCATGGTGCGGAGCCGGACTCCACAGGTGATGACCCAGATCACCAGGGAGTTCCCAATGAGGCCCAGGACGAAGAAAATAGCAAAGAGGGGTGGGATGAAATGGGCCTCGAGTTTCAGGTACACACATGGGCTGGAGTTCTCAGGTAAAAGGTAGTAGAAGTCTGAGTAGTCCTCAGTGATGTTGATGTCCATCGTAGTTGGTAAGCTGGTAAGAAAAATATGAATAATATGATTAAAAAGTTATTTTCAACTACATATTACCATCCACTAAAACAGAAGTGCAGTAAATTAAACCTTTATTTTATGATAAACTATGGCTCTTTGGATCAGTTTGTTGTTATAAGGATCTCCAACTCGTTGGAACAATAGATCTTATTTAATCAAGAATTACTTCAGCTATAAAAATGAGATCGTAAAAATACTGCAGGCTGTTTAGTTTTTTTTTGTTTTTTTTAAATGACACATAGACATTGCCATTTTATTTTTGCTGCTATGCATAAATGTAAATAAGGTAAGGTGAAGTTAAATGATGTTGACAGGTTGCTGCTGTGCAAGCTCCATTCAGTTTGAATGTTAATTTTGGACATTATTTGACGTTCAGCCCTTTAATTTGAATCAGAGTGCGTTGACAAAGAGGAGATTGCAGAAATTACTCATCTTGTATGTTAGTGTGAGCTAATACACGTAACGTTAGCATCAGGACTTAATATGGTGCATACCTGCCAACAGAACCAATTTGAGCGAGACACTCCCAGATTTTCCCCACTGTCCCACATGAGGAGGGGCGGGACACCTAAATGTCCCCCATTTGACAAGAGCTGACTGGGTTTTGTTCATGTTGTGTCTGTTTGGGAGGAGGGATGGTGGTGGGGGTGGGGAGGTGTCACAGGAGAGAAATTACCATAAATAATATTGGTTGAAAAGCTTAATTACTCACCTTTCAGAAACTGTTTTTTTCTAATAGCACAATACTGTAAAGTTACAATAATACAAAATGAGCTTATAAAATAAAACAAGAAATGTAATCATCAACACGCTCGGAATGAACATTTCGTTGTTGATATTTAGGCATGTTCATTTATCGATTCAGCCATCAACCTTCATTTATTAAATTGAAAATCTTTGCTTAATAGATTAAATGTTGCTTGAGGGATTGCTAGTTGGTAATTTAAATGTCTAAAGGTTCCAGTAAATGTAAATAATCTAATCTTTAGTTGGTGTGACCTGCTTTGTCACTACGTAAGGTTATATAGTGCAGAGGGTATTTTGTGATTAAAGCACCGTTTGATGCAGTCAAAACAAACTAATGCAGCTCAGTGTAAAAATAAAATAAAAATAAGGGTAACACAATCTTCAAGTTTTATCTCAGATAAAGTTCAGCTTCAAGGCCAGTTAGTGTTCATTCCTGCACAGTTCAATAAATGTATATTATACGGATTTAGTTTTTTTAATTTAAATACTGGAAATTTCAAAAAGCTGAAAAATGCCTAAACAGGTCTGATGTGAAAACACCCTTTGTTAAAATCAGGCCTCTCTTGTAAATGAGCCCCCAGGGCTCAATGGGATTAACCTGTATAAATAAAGGTTGAATGAATTAATCTAGGTAAAAATCCAACAATGTTCAGTTAGGTCATCTGGATGGTTTCTTTATTTGCGGAAATGTTTCATCCTTCGTCCAAAGGACTTCCGAGGACCCACAAACTGAGTCCCACAAGCAGCGCACTAATGCATTTTATTGTTGGATGTAACTGGGACCCTGTGTACATAATTTCATTCCACCACATGTACCACATGAGGTGCGAATGACAATAAAGAATCTCTGATTCCGACAAAAAAACAGTTTTGCTGGTGATAAGATGGTTTCTGGGGCTCGCCCTCTTCCTCATCGACTCCTCAGAGGCAGTCATGCCCAAGTGGTTCAAAGTTCATGCTCAATAATCCAGGTGAAAATCCAGCAATGTTCAGTCAGGTCATCTGGATGGTTTCTTTTTTTTTTTTTTTTTGCTGAGACGGACAACAAAGTACAAGTTGACCTTTCATCCCAACACTGACTATATTTACAAAAAAGCCAGACAGCAGCTCCACCTTCTGTTTAAGCTAAGGAGCTTTAATGCAAGCAAAGATACTTTGCAGATGATTTACTGGTTGAAAGTGTTGTTTCCTTTAATATTGGCTCATAGAACCACTTATGCCCCTTTTGCACTGCCCCTAATCAGCCCCAACTCTGCTCAGCCCTGCACACCCCTACTCAGCCTGGCTCAGCTCAGCCTGGATTTACACCTGCACTTTAGGACCGATTCTGGAGGCGTGTCCAGAATCCAAGTCCTGCTAATGAGAGTTCTGCGATGAGTTAGTAAAAGCAGTCTGCTCCTCAGATAAATACTATTAAATTATTATTTTTATATATGAATATTTCTGTTCAGTGCCCTGACACGACTTCTGTTGTGACTTGGCGCTATATAAATAAACTGAACTGAATTAAATCTGATGAACCAGATTCTACAAAAACATTTATATTTAAATCTAAAAAAGTTAAGTCTGGTCCTCTGGACATTCAAAAAACAAAACAAACAAACAAACAAAATTAGAAATGTTTCTTCATTCATTCGAAAGACTTCAGTCTGAGGTGCTGTATTCAGCTATTTCTATAAGACTGAGCTGAATACAGCACCTCAGACTGAAGAAGTGTTTTGGATGAAAGAAGAATTGTTTCTACACTTTTGTTTTTGTTTGTTTTTGAACGTCCAGAGGACCAGATTTAACTTTTATTAGATTTTTCTACCTGGATTATTGAGCATGCATCAGGATATCTATATTTAAAATTCTACATTTTTCTTCATCATTTGATGTATTTGCACTCATTGTGGTTTTGTTTCTTGTATACAAATTTTTTCTTGTGTACAGATTATTTTTAGCTTTGAATTAAAGTTTAGCTTTGATTTAAAGCTTTAATTTAAAGTGTAATGCTTGTTTTGTGATTTGTACATCTGTGGGTTAGAATAATGTTGAACCAAAGGCTGTATCTCTTCTTTAAACATGTTTGAGGGAAATATGAGAGATTCAATAATTTAGACTTTTTATATTTTTTCAGTTGAATTAACTTTAATTAAAATATTATTTAATAAAGTCAAAGGGAAAACAGGATTTCACGATAAAGCCGGCACCGTTTATTTATTTTTAATCTTCACTGATAAAAAAAACTTATATTTTATACATAAAATGTTAAAAAAAAAAACATTTCCACCCCCCGTCCCTCCATCCCAGTCCTCCCGCCTGCCAGGGTTCGAATCCGGCCTTTGTGAGCAGGCGAGGCCGGGGCTCGGGGTTCGGCCTCACTGACTCTGACCAATCAGAGTCCTGCATTCACGTATGGTTCGGACTCAGCTCGACTGAGCTCGCTCGGTCCCACCAGAGAAGCAGGGACGAAAAGAGGTCCTGAATCAGCCTCAAATCAGCTAAAAATACTAGCTCAAGGGCTGGTGCAAAAGGGTTCTTTCTGTGGCGGGCTGCCAAGAATTGGGGCTTATTAGGTGCAGTGCAAAAGGGGCATTAGCCAGAGACAGGAACACGTTGTCCCGGTGGTCAAACAAGGTAGTAAAATAATTGGTCATCAATAAATGACACTTACAGATCTATACAGTCAGGTTCTGGAAAAATCCAGGTTTATAATGACCCAACTCATCCACTACAACCATTATTCAGGTTGGTACCATCTGACAGAAGACTGCTGGTTCCTTTAGCAAAGAAAAATGGTACAAGAAGTAATTTATTCCCTTTGCTGTGAATATACTTAATATAGTCCTATTTAAATGCAGGCTCACATGATAAACCATTGTCTGCTGGGATGTGTTTAATGTGTCAAGTATTTTAGAATGCTTTCATTGGGTTACCACATCTTTTTAAAGGCTTTATGGCATTTTGAACTTGTGTTGTTCTGCATGTATGAGCCAGATCAAATATAAGTTTCCATTTCATGGAATGTTATGAACAATAAAGTTATATTGTTTGATTGATTGATATTTGTAACTGATGAAGAACAATATTTACAAGTCTAGAAGTATTACAAATAGTACAAAAATGACATTAAATTATTCGATCTGACAGTCCAGGCACAGCTGGCTTTTTTCTGCTGCAGCTGACACAAACAGCTGGAACTTGTTTGCAGCTGGAGGAGGAAGAGCTGGAGGCATTTTAGTCCACATTTTAAATCAGATAATCTAGATTTTTACAAAAATGTGAAGGCGACTTTATCTGAAATTGTTCAAACCGCCCCTTCACGTCCCGTAAAATCCCACTTGGACACTTCTGCTGCCATATTAGGAAATAATAACTCAGCTGAGCAGAAGCGTTCTTTAGAACCGCGACAACTGGACCACGAACTGCGTCTAAAAACTCACCAAAAGAGCGAGTTCAGCTGCCAACATCCACCTCACAACAAACAACAAACACAACAGCTGGCTAAGCTGTGTCTCAGACTTTCTGACGACTTTCAAAGAACAGACGGAGCTGCTTCGACTGGTTTCTTACCCTTGCACACACAGACTGAAACGGAGATCTGTGGTAGTTGAGGGAGTCGCTGCCATGTTCATCTGAGAAAAAGCAACAATCTAAACGCCTACTTTCTGAGTCTGACCAGCTGTGTATACTTTTTAAAGAAAAGTCTTCATTCAAAGGCTGTGAGGAAGATTAAATATTCTTCTAGGGACTCAGCTTTTGACTTTAGTCTCTGGATTCAATTAACTTAACAGTTTAAATCTTTAGAAGTTTGTTCTGTACAACTATTAAGAATAGTCAACATCTTACCTGTTGTATATGGCTCTATAAACAACCTAAGTTTGGAGAAATCTTTTTTTTTACCGGATTAATGGACAAAGTGGATGATCACTGCTGTCTGAATACAACTTCAACCTAAAAATGTTTTTTTTTTAAAGTCAAAAAGGAGTTCAGTTTCTCCAATCAGAGGTCGTTAAAGAGCGACTAACATCAAGCATAAGAGATTATTGTTTGTGACGGTTAAA